GCAGCTATTAAAATAATGAGAAAGCTCTTGATGGACTGATAAGGAATATCTCTAAGAGACACTGTTGAGTGAGAAAATCAAGGTACCAAAAACAGTATGTACAGCACACAATCACTTGTGTAAAACTCGGGGGAAACATACATGTGTTTGCTGTGTCTACAGAGTATTCTCCCAAGAAGGAAGCTGGGTGGCTAGGAGATAGGGGTGGGTGGGTGACATCCATTCCTTTTGAATTTTGAATCACGAGTGTATTGCCTATTCTAAGAAAATAAATAAATTTAAAGGTGAAGCATGAGAGATTCTCTCATGAGAAGTTGTGACTCCCCAGACACAGAGTCTTTGGCTAGTTATTATACCATCAGAAAAAAATGACAGCTCTAGTATTTGCATCCTGTGACACCAAAACAACACAACTATGGCATGATAACTATAGTAGGGTTGCCACCATCTCTGGCCCTTTGTCCCTGGGTGTTCTTATACTGGGAGGGGACCAGGATCCATGAAGAAGCTCCTCTAACCTCCAGGTTAAGTCTGTCTGGGCAGAATAATAGGGAAAGGAGGTTCTGGTTAAAATTAAAATTACCCAAGAGCCTTGGAAGAAAAAAAGGAAGGGAAGGAACCTAGTCCTGGAAGGGGTGGGGGCAGTCAGGCTCTGAGAGGAGGGCTAGAACTAAGCCTGAGAACCCCCTTTCTCACACTTTTCTTTCCCTTTACCTCCTACCATTCCTCCTCCTGTTTTCCTTAACAATTAATCTGCCTGCCTGCTAAAAACACTTAAACTGGGGACTCCTGGAAGTAGATGGAGACCCAAGTGGCTCTGAAAGAAACACAAATGGCTAATAAGATCTAAGAACAAATGCTGCTCTACTTCTTACAGAACCCTGTAAATAGTCCTAGGATACTTTAAACTATTACGAGAATATTTAAACATGTACAAAAGGAGACAGAATGATAAAATGAACCATCACTTAGCTTCAACAATTATCAACTTAGTACCAATCTGATCTCATCTCTTCCCTAACCACTCTCCCTCAACCCAGTATTATTATGAAGCAAATTTCAGACATATTCAGTATATGTTTCTAAAAAATAAAGAATTATAAAGAAAAAAAAATCACAACCACAATACCATTATCACATCTAAAACTGGAAAAATCCAACAAAATTCTTGGAAGGGTTTATAATGTGATCAAAAGTCATTCCAAATGAGGGCACCTTTGTTCAATATGAAATATTAATGCAGTGTATATAATAAACTGTAGGTATAACTCAAGTTATAAATAATTCAGATTTGTAGATGTTTAAAACCTGCTGAAATAAAGGTATTCTGCAAACAAAAATACTAAGGTGACATGAGTCCATTCCAGATCTATAAAGGACTTCAATGTGAAAGGCAAAACTTCAAAACTTTTAGAAAACAGTACAGACAAATGTCTTTAGTATCACAGGTTCAAGGACTTCTTCAACAAAAGACAAAAGAAGAAAAGACTCAACTACACTGAAATTAAGAAATTCTAGTCATCTAAGATATATATAAAAAGTGAAAAGACATACTACAAACTGAGAGTCTGTATTTGTAACACGTGTGGCCAAGAGTTGCATTCAGAATATATAAAGAATTCCTAAAGAAATCCACAAGGAAGAGCCAAATCAAAAGAAAACAGAGCAAAGACTTGAACAGGTATTCTACAAAAAAGGAAACATGAATAGATGTGAGGAAAGATTCTCAGCCCCACTTGTAATCTGAGAAATGCAAATTAAAACCACAAGATGCCATCTCATATCCACTACGAGTTCTATAAAAAATTTAAAGTCTGACCATATTAGGTATTAACAAAGAAGTAAAGCCACGGAGAAGCAAGCTGCTGCTGGCAGTGTAAGTTCTCACAAGCACATGGAAAACAATCAGGCATTACCTTCCATCAGGCGATTCTACTCCTGAGTATCTACTCTATAATAATGATTCTCAAAGTGTGACGCAGGTCTCAAAGACCTGCAGCAGCAATACCACCCAGGAATTTGTTAGAAATGCAAATTCTTAGGGCCCCACCCCAAACATACAGAATCAAACACTACAGGGGTGCAGCCCAGCCATCTGCGGCTTAACAAGTCCTCCAGGTGATTCTTATGGGCAGTTAAAACCTCAGAACCACTGTCCTGAAAAACATGCATGTCCAGAAGATATGCACAGAATGCTCAAAACCACATCGTTTGAAATAGCAAAAATAAGGGAACAACCCAAATAATCACTGATAGTAGAAAGGATACATAACTTGAGACATAATCATACAAAGCAATATAAAAATGAACTACAGCTAAAAAAAAAAAATGAACTACAGCTATACACATATTGATGGATCTCAAAATATTGAATGAAAAAAGTGAATTGCAGATGAATACACATAGTATATTTAAATGAAGTTTAAAAGCATGCATAAGATGACTCTCCATATATATGTAGTAATTTTTTTCTTTTTTAAAGCAAGGGAGTGATAAACACAAATCTCAGTAGAATGGTTGTGACTGGAGAGGAGAGGGGCACACAGGGGCCTCTAAGGTATTGATAAATGTTTGATTTCTTAAACTGGGTGATGAGTTTACGGGCGGTCATTTTCCTATTCTTGAAACTTTACATATGCATTACATATTCTCTGTCATATTTGATCGATTTCTATCTATCATACAGTGTAATACTTGGAGCCAGAACTGCAACCACTAACTCTGGCTACATGTGTGGTGTCCAAAGGGTTAAGCCTATTTCTCAGCCTGAGGGTGGGAGGGGTGGGAGGACAGGCAGCAGCTGGGGCACAGTGGGAGTCCCTGGCTCCAGCTGGCTCCAGCCTGGATCTGCCTGGATCAAGCACCACGCCCAGGCACAGGGCACCTGTGGGGGAGGCAGTTCTAGACAGGTGGTACCTGAAGCCCTTGGTGACCTGATACACGTGTGGGACTGGGATCAGTCAGATGGGTGGTAGCCTCCCCCGTCAGAGCCCCTCCATCTGGTAAGGAAGTATGTTGGTGGCAGCTTGGAGTTAGTGAGAAGGGGAAGAGGATCTGGGACTCAGGATGGGGGTAGGGAAGGAACTGGGTGGGCTGAGTTTAGATACCAAGGGAGGCTGCTGGGATTAGCACCTGCTGAGAATGAGATTGGGTTTCTTGGGAGGGGCTCATCTATCTAATGCCCCCAGAGAGCTGTCTCCCAGTGGCTTTTCTCTGCTGGACAGATGGTGTCTGAGCTGCCTCCTGGAGGGTGGGCTCCTTGAGGGGGTGGTGGAGGTGGGGTGGGAACTGATGTCTGCTTGGTCATGGAATTCCCTGCCTTCCACAATAAGAATGACTCTTACTGAGGCCTTACTATATGCCAGGCACTGTCCTAAGCCCATCACACAAATTACCCCCATTTAGTTTCCACAGCACCCAACTGCCTATGGCCTAAATAGGAGGCTTACATTCGAGGAAACTGAAGCCTGACAAAATGAACACTTGCCCAAAGTCAAACAGCAAACAAACTACTTGAACGCAGGCAGTGTGACTCCACAGCCATTGCAGGAAACCACTTACTGGCCATGACATCTTTCCCTTCTCATTAAACAGCAGCAAGCTCCTTCCAGTTGCTCAGGCCAAAAACCTGGATTCCACTCTCTCTCATACCCATTACCCAAGCACCAGCAAATCCAGTTGGCCCTGTCTTCAAACTGTATCAAAGCTCTGACCACTGCTCTCCACTTTTGCCACACCTCCCCCCTCAAGCAAACCACCATCACCATTCGCTCAGCTTCTTACTGGCCTGTTGCTCCTGCCCTTGCTGGTATAGGGAAAACAGGGACTTTGGTTTGCTCACACCATATGCCCAAGTTATAGCTCAGTGTCTATACATGGCAGGCCCTAGATAAACATTTGTTAGTGAACAAATGAATGAATGACCAATATCCCTCAGGAAATGACTCAGACTCAGAGGGGAGGAAGGCCTGCCTGAGTGCCCTCTGCTTTCACAGCCCTAATGACCTTTGGTAGCTCCAAGGCAGCGGTCAAGTCCTCCCTATTATGACATGTTCTGAATGTATAGCATCACCACTGTGTTGTCCACTTGGGTCTCCATGCACACACACCCACAGGGACACAGGAGCTGGAGTAGGGCTGCTTCTGAGAAGGAACAGCCTAGGGCATTTATTTCTAGAGGACTGTCCTCCATCTGTCCCTGCACTGTACACACTCTGGCTTTTATTCTCATAAATGAAGAGCCATTGGAGGGTTCTGAACTGAAGAATGACAGGATGCGACTCCCATTTTAGAAGGACCACTGATTGCTTTGCAGATAACAGAGAGAGGGGGGCAAGGGCAGAAGCAGGGAGGCGGTGGGGAGAACTGTCTCAGAGAGAGAAGGCATGAGCAGTAACTGTGCCCTCTCCTGTCCCACTTGCAGCCTTTAACCAGACTATCTCCTCTGCCAAAGAAGAAATGGCAATAGCAAATGCCGGGGGATCTACTCGGCAGTTTCCATTATCAACAGAGCATCTTGGTAACCCCCTCAACAGTTCCGTGAAGTGGCATCCAGTAGAACCCACATTTTACAAAGAATACTGAGGCTCTGAGAGGTAAAGTCACCTGCCAAAGATCACACAGTACAGTGTCAGCATCCAAAGTCTGTCCTCTTCCCACTTGAATAGGCTGCTTCTAGCCAGCATCAATCCACAGCCTACCCAGGCTCCAAAGTCTAGTTCTAAGACCACCTTTTTCAGGAAGCCTTCCCCACCTTACCCCATGGCCTGTTCCTCTTTCGAGAACCTATCTCCAGGGCTACCATTCACTGGGCACTCCCTGGGTGCTGGGTGCATGGCTGAATGTTTTACCTGTGTTATATAGTATTCCAATGACCCAAGGAGCCACATAAGCTGGTGACATCCATTTTATATGTGAAAACAGTGAAGCTGAGAGAAGCAAAGTCAGAGAGCAGGTAAGCTGTCTGCTGTCCTACTTGCTTGGCACTGAGCCATCTTTTTATTACTTTCATCTTCTTTTTTTAAAAAGATGCATTTCACATTTTTTTCCTTCTCAGGCATTGGGTCAAACAGGGATATCCAGTATATCATAGTGTGGTGGCTGCTCTGCTCTGAGATATAAGCTCTTTCTGTCCCCTGACCAAACTCTAAATGCTTTAAGGTCAAAGACCACAAATAACACTTTTGTTTGCCCACTCTACAGTGCTGGGCCTGAGCCTTGGACTTAGGTAAAGGAGATCAGAAAGGTCAGGAGTTCTTGCTGAAGTCACAGGGCTAAATGAAGGTGGAAAAGAGGGATGGGGAGGACAGCTTTCTCCAAGAAAATGCACCTTCTAGGTCTTTAAGAGCAAGTAGCAGTATTCTAGCCAAGACCCTGTGGGCAGGTGGAATACCTGTGCCCCAGCCTGGTTCTGAAGAGACTTGTGGAGCAGGGAGGAAGGGGCAATGGCTTTCAGTTCCTGTTAATGTGTCTAGAAGCAGCAGCTGATTCAGCTAGATGATGTCAGCTTCCCAAACCTCCTGACCAGCAGCTGAGATGGTAAAAGCAGGAAACTAGGGAGGACTCAGCTGGCTACGTCTGAACATGCCTCTGGCAAAGCCCAATAGTAACCCCAGTCTCTGGGGCGTCCTCCTGCAGATGAGAACTCTTCTGACTCCTCTCATTCGGGAGAACAGTAGGTGTCCTTCAAGACCCTCACTCCAAAATGCTTCCCAATTCTCCTTTTGCTAAGTAACTTTCCACATGTCTTTAACTAACAATATTCATTTACTCCAAGGGTGGAGCAATGGAAAGAAGCCTGGCTTTGGAGCCAGACCAATCTGGGTCTGAATCCAGGTTCCATCTTGTACAAGCTGCACACCCTGGGCATGGAACTTTATCTCTACAAACCTGTTTCTTTATTGGAAGAGAAACTGGGACCAACAGACCACTTGCCACGTAGGCTGGGTGGGAGAATTGAGAAAATACACAGAGAGTACCTGATATGGGGTAAGTGCGCAACAAACGTAGTACCATCATTCCCTTTGGATCTCTGTGAGGGAGGTGTGAGAGATCATCTTTAACTGTAACACAAAGGTAAACAAAGGCCCAGCCTGGGCCCTCCAGTGTCAGAGCTGAGTATCTGTGTTGGCCCAAAGCTTGGATGAGCCAAGTTCAATCCTGCCTTGCTTTTCTGTTTGCAAGATCTTTGCTTCAGAATCTTCCCATGCTGATCTTTTCTCTTTAATCTACCCTCAGGTCAAATGTTACCAATGTTACCTCCTCAGAGAGGCTTCTTTGACCTCCCTGTGTAAACTTGCTCCCCTAGACACTCCATTACTCAGTTTCATTTTCTTTACATCATTTGACCCTTTAACTGAAATCATCTTATTTGTTTCTCCTTCACTAACAGGTTCTATGAGAGCAGTGTCCCTGACTGCCTTGTTCATCACAGCACCCCTAGCACTAAGCATAGGGCCTGGCATGTAGCTGATGCTCAATAAACATCTTATGAATCACCAAATGAATGAATGTACCTGGGATGGCTAAAGGCTAACCTGACAATGGCCCCACACCTACTCCTCTGCTTACTGTCAGTTCAAGGTCTCCCATTTCAGATGCTGGCGTTGGCACTGCTACCTGGGAATCAGCAGACTGGCAGGCAGCCAGGATGGGCATTCATTTCTGGCAATGACTCATCTGTTGGGATACCTGGGCTGCTGAGGAAGGCCTCAGAATCTTTCCCTGGCACTCGAGACTCCCACAAACATGGCTCCAGGTGGCCTTTCTGGCTTTGCCACCTAGTAAAAGAGACGCTTCCACATGTACTCCAAAATGGGCTATTACTGCATATGGGTTTCTTCTTGGGAGTCCATCCCAGCCTGCCATCTTAGCTCACATAGACTCCCTGCTGGGCGCACCAGCCCCTCTTTTCCCTGTCTCTGTGGTAAGTCCTAGCACAAATCTTACCTCTTCTGTAGAGTGCCTCTCTTATTTGGCACTTAACATTTATGTATTTTTTTTGTTATATATATTTTTTATTTTGGTATCATTAATAATTACATGAGCAACATTGTGGTTACTAGATTCCCCCCATTATCAAGTCCCCACCACATATCCCATTGCAGTCACTGTCCATCGGCGTAGTAAGACGCTATAGAGTCACTACTTGTCTTCTCTCTTGGCACTTAGCATTTACTGTTAGCTTTCATGAGATCGCTTTACATGTTTTTTCTAATTCAAGTGGAAGTGTCTTGAGGGCAGAACTAGGTCTTCAATAGCAGTATCTCAATTAAGAAGTCTTCTGGGAAAAAGGCTATCTCTGAAACAAAGTTGGATGGGCTCAGAGAGAGCTGGAGAGGGGGCCAGGCTCCTCCCTGCTGGACTGGCCCCTCTGGTGAGTGAGAAGGAAGGGGAGATGCTGCTGCCTCTCAGTACAGGAGCCCTGCTGATGAGGCAGTGAGGGAGCCAAAAAATCCAGAACCATCACATGCAGTCTGGGACAATCCCAAGGTCATGCGTGTGACTGGATTTTCAAAAACCGTCATTTTCAAGAATCTGGGCATCCTTTAGTTATCAACCATAAAGAGTAGGAGAATAATGTTGCTCAGTACAGAGGGACCTGTGTGGTATCTGTTTCTGAGAACTGAACTAATCTTAGTTCTGGCTCTTGTCTTCTTACCGATACTTTCCTTTCACCTGACTCCCACAGTTAGTTTATCCTTTTGGTTATATGAATTGTCCTGTGTTGCCTCCAACTCTTTTCTTTTAAATGCCACAAGGGTAAACAAAAAAATGATGCTCCAAACAGTACATTGTAACAATTAAAGGTAAGTTACAAAAATAATGCATGTAAGTCACTGAGTACAGTGCTTGGCACTTAGTGAGCATGTTCAAAAGGTAAGTTGTAAGAATGCTCTCAATTCTTAATAGCTTCTCTTCTCTCGGCCTTAATTTTCTCGTGTAGAATGAAAACAATGTCTTAGGTTTGTCTATTTGTTCGATCAGTCACTTCAAAATCACTCAATGAATGTTTACTACCTTCAGGGAACAGGTCTGGGCACCAAAGATAAAATGATGAACAAACTGAAGTCTTTACAGTCATGAGGCTCATATTCTAGTAGAACAAACAGATAAAAAACAACAAATACACAGAAAGTTTTAGATAGAGGTTGGTACTAATACAAGAAAGTAAAAGACTATGGAGTGATTTAGAAGTAGGTTGGCTACTTTAGACCAAAGGCCAAAGAGAACCTCTCGGAGGTGGTGGCCCATGGGCTGAGTCAACTGAAACAACCAGCAAGCCAAACACCAGGGGCAAAGCATTCCAGGTAGAGGCAACAGCAACTACAAAGGCCCTCAGGCAGTGTGCTAGAAGCCAGGAACAGCAAGGAGCCCCGGTGGTTTGTGTGCAGAGAAGGAGAGGCAGAGTGACGGAGGATGGAGATGCAGCCAGTACTGGATCATGCAGGTCTTACAGGCCTTGGTAAAGGACTCCGGGTTTTATTCCAAGTGGGCAGAGGGTTGTAAGCAAGAGGGTGCTAAGATCTGATCTTGGTTTTTAAAAGGTCACTCTGACTGCAGTGTTGGGGCAGTAGTGATTTTTAAAGGCCCCTTCCCAGCTCCAAACTTCTGACTCCTTCCCTGTCATTCTAGGCTCCCATGAATTGGTTGCCTGAGCAGAAAAGATGCATGCATCCTCCTCACTAGATACGGAGCAAAGAGAAGTGGCTGCTGCCCTAGACAGGAGTAGGGAATCTGTTAACTTCATTCTGCAGAATGGAGGGAGTGGCTCAGTCAGGGAGGGGTGGGAATCTCAGCTTGGAAAACATACCAAGCCACCTGTATTGTTTCTGCCTCCTGTGTGGAAGTTTCCGCCAATGACACAGTACTCTGGAATGCTCCCCCCACCACACCCAATCTTCTTATTATGAGGCAAAGTTGTACTTTGTATTCCTCCTAGGATTTAGCTCAAATCCAGCCTACAGGAAATGGTCGATAAAGAGCTACTGATTGATTAATGAAGAGAGGGAATATTCTCAGCCATTAAGCAAATATTAATGAGTACTATAAGTACTATGCTGGTCTCTGGGGATGCAAGGTGATTAAGATGGGTTTCTTGCCTTCACTGAGCTCAGACTCCAGCAGACAGACGAAAACCCACAGCCACAATCCTGGATGTAAGAGTAACAGCCGCACCACACTGACCAGGAGGCCCTCCTGATCCAGAGGCAGAGCACCTGGGCTTTGGAGCCAGACTGTCTGGGTTCACACAACTTCACTTACTAGCTGTGCATCTCTGGATGAATTCCTTAACTTCCCTGTGCCTCACTTTTCTCCTCTGTAAAATGAGAATGAGAGTACCTACCTCGATGCTGCTGCTTTGAGGATCGATGAATTAATACATATGAAACTTAAGTGTAAGTGCTGAATAAATGTCAGCTATTATTAAAATTACTGTAATATCTGTGCTAAGCTGGATGTGCATGATCTCATTTCATCCTCATAAAAACCCAAGAGGCAGGTATTATCATCTCTACTTTTTGGACAGGGGAACTGAGGCTCAAAGGGGGAAGAATGTGCTCAAGATCCAACAGTTAGTATGTAATGGAGCCTGACCCCAGAGCCCATACTTAACAAAATGATTCATTCTTTTAAAAACCTCCCAACCCAAAGCAGAGGTCTCCTTAAAGAGAGCTGTGGTTATATTCCACTGTTTCCAGAGATCTGCCAGTAGGAGGTACTGGTGAGCCCAGAGGAAGCTGCCAGTGTGGAAGTTTCACCTTGAAGGGCTCTAAGGAGGGTTCAAAGGTGCCAACTGCAGGCTTTGCTCTGGAGTTCCATGGGTTCCCCTCACTGAGTCTTGGGGTACTAATTTGGAACCCCAACCTCTACCACTAAATCAGACCCAGAAACTGCCCCCAGGTGCCCAGACACCTGCACAGATAGGCAGGCAGTTTCCTCTGGGTTGAATTCTTGTCTGGCCCAATACATCTCTCAGTTTCATCACTTAGCCACGAGCCTGGGCCTCATGCCTGCACCTGCTGTTTGACCTAGTCCCAGGAGACCCTGAGCCTTAGACATAGGCTCCCTCCCTGGACCTTGTCCCAAAGGGCTATTATCTGGGTGACTCCCTGGGGACTTCCTTGATACGGTAACCATTGGGTTGCATATAAATGTGGGTGCTGTGAGCAACGGGAAATTTTTTCTTGCTGAGGAGCAGACAGAGAGTGGGTAGAACAAGGAGTTGGTTGTTCTTGTTCTGAATCAGAGGTGAGAATGGGGTGAGGCCTGCTGTGCCTCACAGTTTTATGTTAAAGCATCACTGGTCCTGGCAAGTCAGGGCTCCCACTCAGTTGTCCAGCCTAGGCAGGCAAGGACATCCAGAAATATTCTTTTCTACTTCCCATGTGAGTCACACTCAGAGGTCTGGTAATTTGGTTGCAGAAGGCAACAAATGGCTGAATCAGTGAAAGACCAAACTTCAGTGAGTGGAAAAGGGAAGACCCAGCACTTGGTGTGCTTTTACTCCACATCAGGCCCTGTACAGGGACAATTTACATATACCATTCATAGTTATGAATGTTCAGTATTTGGTCACAAAACACTAAGCCACCAAGAGCTAAGCCTAATAGTAGTTGAAAACAGTGAATGAGGCAGTTTCCACCCTCAATAAGCTCAGAGCACCTGCTTGGTCTTCTCCCAACAATCCTGTGAAATGAGTACCATTTCCATTTTATAGATGCTCATGCTTAGAGGAGTAACTTGTCCAAATTCATGAAGTCAGATAACTGAGAGTTAGAATACTGCTTCTACTCAACAAATGCTTGTTGGTTGAATGTATGAATGCCACAGGTATGGCTTCCTGACTTCAGTCAAGGAGCAAGAACAAGACCAAACATTTATGGTTCTCAAAGTGCTTTTTCATCTATCATCTCCTTGGGCCTCACAGCTAGTGCATGAGGGAGGCAAGGCGGGTGTTATCTTTCTTCAACAGATGAGGCAATAGGCAGAGCTTGCAAAAGGCTTATGGCTACACACAACAAACAAGGAGTGGGGCCCTCCTGGAAAAACTTAAAGAGTCCCCACATACCTTGTTTAATCACTCAAGCATGTGTTAAGCACCTACTATGTGCTAGGTATGCTCCTTTGCACTTTAAATAATTAACTCATTAAGTCTTCTGCTTGTCAACAAATACAATTGAGTGGTTTCTATATTCCAGGTTCTTTGGTAGGTTCTAGGGATATAGCAGTGAATAAAGCAGAGGAGGTACCTGCCTTCTGGGAGGCACCTGGCAAAGACTGAAGAAACTATGCCCCACTGCCAAATGCCTAGTCAGCAACACTGGCCAAACTCCTGCTGTGTACAAAGCATGACTTGGGGCCCTTGCCAAGGAGGTAGTGGACAAGGCTATGAGCCATGGTCCCCAACTTCAGGAATCATAAAATCTCTAAGCTCTTGGTTCAAAGGATATCCACATACTCTGTCAGCCTAAAAGTTTACTCCTGGAGAGTAGCTCCAATAGCGATCACAGAAACCTGCTCACTGCGAAGGCAACCTGATAACAGCAGCAGTAATAGAAGCTGTCACACTGAGTCATCATTATATGCCAGCCTCCATGCTAAGTGCTCCATGTATCCTACCTGTTATTTTCATGCTCCTAAGAGTCTTTCAAGAAATGCACTGTATGTTATTATCCCTTTTTTATAGATGAGAAAACTAAGGCTGGGGGAGATTATGTAACTTGTCCAATGATAA